GCGCCACACGGCAGTCGGCGTCCCTGGGTGGGCCCGGCGCGGTCAGCAGCCCGTCGTGCGAAGGCTGCCCGCAGAGCCCCGACAGGGAGCACAGGCAACTGCAGCTGGGAAAGCTGAGTCTCGCGGTGTCTGGTTGCAGCCACGGCTGGCTGACAGCCCCCCGCACCCAGCTGCGCAGCTCGCGCCCCACCACCGGGCCCCACGCGCCCAGAGCCACGGCAGCGCCCACGCTATTAGCGCCAGCTCAGGGCAACCGGCCGCCTGAAGTATTCCGAAATCAACCAGAAACAGGTTCCACCTGTCTCCACCCACCAGGCACGGTCGAGCTGGGGTCACACTGACCACAGGCGCTCGTGTGGGTCCTGGAAGGAGGAAATGGGGGGTGGGGGGGTTGGTAGTGAACCAGCCCAGGGCCCTGGGCTGCTGAGAGTACACAAGGAAAAGGGAGCCCGGGGGCTGGAGGGGGCAGGATCGGGGGCCACACCACCCAGCCAGGGCCGGAGCAGATTTAACCCACGGCGAACGGAAGCCACGGAGAGTTCTAAGCACAACAAGCTTCTCAAGGGTGGATCAGGCTCCGCCGGAAAACAACTCGGGGCCCTCTTGGTGCGAAGGCCACGGTGGCCCCGCACCCAGGCTGGTAACGCGATCACGCTGACTGCTGAGTGACACATCACGGGTTCCCACGGGTCAGACAGCCGTTCTGTAAGGCTCGGCTTCCCCAGCCAGGTCTCGAGAGAGCTCTGGCTCGAGGTCCTTTCCGGCCCAGGGAGGAGGAAACCAAGTCTCTGGGCTGCCCCAGGCCCCGCCAGGCCACCCAACGGGGGCACCAGCGCAGCCGTGGTCTCCTGGCCGAGGCACCACGCCGGGCACCGGCGCCCGCACCCTCGCCATCCTTCACTGACAGGACTCTAAGGCCCTTCAGGACACCACCGCTGGGTTTCTGCGCACCACCAGGGCCTCAGCGCCTCGCCCAGAGCCAGGAACACAGAGGCTCTCATACACAGGCTGGGGGCCTGCCCGACCGCTGCCTGGCCAAGAGGGTAGCCCTGAATGACACCCGGCACCCAGGAAGACTGCCCCCCCTGCCAGGAGCACACACTCGGCCCCCAGCGCCCGGCTGGACCACTGGGGAACCTGGCTCCTGCCTCCCGAGGCCAGTCAGTCGCAGGCGTGAGCCCCGCTTCAGAGCTGTCTCTAGGAAGCGCCGACTCTCAAGCCCGGGACCAGCCAGCAGTACAAGGCAGGGAGGCAGGTGAGGGCTCGCAGTCCCACCTGGCTTTGCAACCAGATGCCCCCTCCCTCCGGGTCACAGGTGCAGGGTGTCCGGCTGGGACTCCCTGAGAAGGGATGGCCGGTCCCACCTCCACAGTGACCGCGCTGTGCTAAGTGCTGAACACTCTGCAGCCCATGACCAGGACGCCACCCAGCCGCCCAGGCAGCCACCCAGCCGCCCAGCCAGCCCTGCCTCTTTGGTGCCTCCCACCCCCCTCTGGCCTCAGGGCCCTGCCCTCTCCAGGAGGCTCTGCTGAGTCTGCCCCTGCAGTGTCCCCACAGCCCCGACACCCCCACATCCCCGGCAGCCTCTGACCACCCTGGTGCACGGCAGCATTAAGGTGTCCGGTGTCTGTCTTCATCCCAGACAGTCCCCGGAGTGTAAGCACGCATCACAGTGGGAAACCCCACAGGTCCTCAAGTCGGGAAAAACTGTAACTGTCTCCGAGAATTTGGATCAGGGAGTGTCCGGCCTGTTCGGACTGAGAAGGGCCGCAAGCCGCTGGTCCACCTCTGCCGGGTTTGCGCCGGCAGAGCCGGAATCGGAGTTGAGCTCGGCCAGGGGTCCCGCGGCGCGGAAGCCTCGCACCCTGGGGCTCGCGCTGATGCTGCGCTGGCTGCGTCCAGCCGGGGGCCCACGGGGTGAGGACGGTGCACCCCGCCCGCGCGACCCGGGGCGCACTCGGCAAAGTTAGCCAACGCCCGAGAGGCAGGGGGCCCGGGAGGCGGGACCGACTGCGGGCCTCGGGGAGGGGACATGGAGGGCCGGCCCCGGCTCTGGGGTCCGGGTTGAGGGGTGGGATTTGGGGGACCGGAGGACAGGTGTCTGGGGCGGGGGGGGGTCTGGGACCAGGGGTCGGGGTCAAGGGATGGGAGTCGGGGGTCAGGGGTCAGGTCCGGCAGGATGGGGCACGCACTGGGCGCGCATCCCCCGCCCAGTCGGCCCGCGGCGCCCCGATTCGACCCCTCCCCACCTCGCGCCCCCAGTGCCGCGCTCCCCGCGCCCGCACATGCGCACTGCAGCCCGCGATGTGGCAGTCGGGAGGGGG